TTGGAATATTTTTAATTTAAAGCGGTCCAGCGTTAGCTTTTACACATTAGATAAAGGCACAAAAATATTTTGACGTCATTTTCTTTGAAATGTGAACTTTTTAACAAACCATAATATAAATTAAAGAAAAAGAATTCAATTTGTAACAAAACAAATACAAAATAATAATATATATTAAAAATAAAAAAATATACCAAAACATGCGGATTACATTTTAGTCTTTAAACGTTTCACGAATTATTTGATCTTTAGTTTTTTGACTTCAATATAAGCTATTATGACCATATAAAATTGCAACCCCCACAAATTGAGAGGGGTTTAAACTTTATATGGTCATAATTTTTGAACACTAAAAAAATTTACTATGAAATTTAAAATTTATCGATTAATATGACTCAAGGTGAAAATAGTACAAAAAATATTTCCATTAACTTGTTGCTCTCACGTTTGGGACAAGGGGGCCTAAGGTTTTAGGGTTTCTTGTTCCCATTCTCCTATAAGAGTAATTTTTATTTGTGAAGAATCTTTTCGTCATACATATTAACGTAAAAAGGTTTGAAATATTCTTTTCGTTATAATTTTTTGTTATATGTGGCGGGATAGCTCAGATGGTTAGAGCGTCAAAGGAAAAGTTAAAACCCGGGCTGTTGAGCGATACGAGTTCAAATACCGCCACCGTCAACTCAGCGCTTGAGCAATACTTCGGTACGCAAAAATGTTGGTCAATAACGGACGCTACTTTGGGTTAATCTGGACGCTAATTGGATTAATAATGACTATTTGTGGCTGTTCCTATGCTAAGATGCTAAGCCAACAATATCGGATATAATATTCGGATTTAAGAACATTGTATAGAAAAATATAGCATGAAAACTCAAATAAAAAAATAAATATAAAGTTGGTTATTTCAAACATTTTAAACCTTCGTACGCCACTGTAACTATATATATATATATATATATATATATATATATATATATATATATATATATATATATATATATATATATATATATATATATATATATATATGTATATATATATATATATTTTTAAGTTGATTAAGGAACCCCAAGAAGTCCTTACGGTCTTATCACAGAGCACCACGGAAGAGCATTTAATGGGAAGTTCACGCCTCTTTCCCAACCGATGTCGCAAAACTTGCCCAGAGGTGGGGTTTGAACCTCAGATCTTACGTTTCTGAGGCAAGTGCGCTACCACTGCGCCACTTTATATATATATATATATATATATATATATATATATATATATATATATATATATATATATATATATATATATATATATATATATATATATATATATATATATATATATATATATATATAGAATTCTATCTGATTTGTTTTATGTTGAAAGAATTTAACAATCAAAGTTTTAAATAATAATAAATAATAAAAACAAACTACTTTTAAAATGATATATTATAAATCATTTTTTAAGTGGTTTAATATAAAATATGTTAAATAATGAAATATAGATAACATAAACAACTTATAATTTATAATTAAAACATGAATTAAATAAATATTGAAAGTTAAGTTCTCACAACATAAAAAAAGGCAGATAGAACCCTATAATTCTAATGTGACGATATATATATATATATATATATATATATATATATATATATATATATATATATATATATATATATATATATATATATATATATATATATATATACTTATATATATATATATATATTTTTTTTAATTCTTCAACTTCTAACAAGGTTGCAAACAATCACTATTAAAATTGTAAGTTACTGGTAAAGAAAACATGAAGTTCATAGAGCAAGATAACGATTGACAGTCGACCTAAAAAGTTGCAAATTATATGAATCAGGAAAACAAGATAAAGGAAGCGAATCCCAAATATGTTTAAGGAAAAAAACTAGATGAATAAGAGTTTTTGGGGCATTTAGCAACAGTTATAGTAAAAGGATGAGACTAAGTTGAATGACGAGTAACACAATAATGAATTTTAGTAGATGACACAGGAAACGCTGGCTCTTTATAGCAGCACCCATTATAGATTTTTAAAAAAAGAGAAAAAAAAACATTATTACAACAATGTAATAATGGTTGGAGGTTTACAAGGATGGATTTGAGATTTATAGAGATAACCCAGACAGCATGCTTACATTGGCCAAACGTAAATTTTAACATTGGCAAATTTATTCCATCGGGCAAAAATTGAGCCAATGTTTTTTTTGGCGTGATAATTTCCGATAAAACGTTGGCCAAATGTTGGGCCAACATTTGGCCAATGTTGTATCGGCTCAAAATTTTGGTATAAAAATCTGTTCTTACATGAATGACAATAAATTAAATAAATAGTTAAATATTCGGCCAATGTAGTTGTGGATCATTTTATTCGTAAAATTTAAAAAAGTTGTTGCATGACATTTAAAAAAAATGGTATTCTTTTACACAATAAAGAAAGGTTTTGATACAATCTTTCCATTTTTTTAATAATAAAAAAATAACAAAATAGGCTATATTTATTAATCTTCTATGAATCTTAGAAGGTTACCTCATAAGAAGTTCTTGTGACTAAATAATTTATTTTTCTTAAATAATAAAATATTGTTTAACGATTAATAATGTGCTCATAACATTTTACTACAATCCAAAGGCGCTACAGTTTCTCCCCCTTCCCTTTCCCCTCCTTTTTTTTATTTTATTGCTGCTTATGATAGAGAAATTTATTAATTAAGAATCGTATAAAAACATTGGTCTGAAAATCAACAAAAAGTGCTCTAATTCGATTCCAAAGTTTAAAAAATTACACTAAAAAGGCTAATATTCGCCATTTTTTTCGTTCTCGGTTATAATAGAAACTCACTCTTAGCAAAAATAGGAGATAACTGTCCAATCCGCACCTTAGAAAACCACAACATTACTGTGAAAGCTTATGACCATGGAATTCCAAAAATGTAAACATTTAAATCATCTGCCTACGTCCGTGAAAGAAAATCAATTTTGAAATTTTCCTCTATTACACATA